CCAAAGTAAAATAAAAATAAAGTGCTATCCCTTAATTGTTTCCAAATATATGTTTAACATTTCTCTAAGACTATTGGTGTAGAAGTTACCATTCGACCTTTTAAGAAGTGCCAATATTAAGTTTGTTTGCATCAATAATCTTCTTCAAAATAATTATTCATGAATGACCGAGCTCATTTTGATAGTCTATTTGTTATAAAGGGTGAGCCATAAGTCTTGGACCCTCTCAGGAAAATTGCTCTTTCTCTCTTATAACAAATCTAAAAAAGCTCAAACTTTGGTACATGATCTCTTGTAACACGGCGAATATTATCCTAAATTTTCAGATGTCTATCTCTACAAGTAAGGGAGAAATATAGATTAACATTTTAGAAATTTTGTTTTCCATGTCCCAAAAGCAAAAACCAATGTTTTATTCACAAGTAAAGTATTCAATAATTAGTTTTTACACAAAATGCAATCGCAAATAGTCTCAATTTATTAAAGATTTTCATCTTGAATTTGATCTTATTGGTTTAGTTTCAAATTTTCATAATAATTCTTTTGCATTTCTTACTCTTCGATATCGTTGTGTAGCATTAATTTTCTATGATCGTGCTATTTTCGAAAGTCTTATTCCAATATCATACGTTTCTGCCAGGTGTACACTACTATAAGAAGATTTTCTTTGTTTTCCTTTCATTGATCTAATTGTTTTTCTAATCGATTGTTTCTGTTTTATTTTCAATATTGCATTTGACTAATGATATAAATCTTCTTGTTCTGATTGTCCTAGGTGTTCTAGATCTCTTTCTTGTATTTATTGTACCTCTTTTGAGTGCATAGTTTATAAAGCAAACGAGAGAACGTCTTGTTTATGGTGGTGAGCAATCACTGTTTTGTAATTCATCGGTAATATCACTTGATGAGCATCTTTTATGTAAATCATGTAAAGTCAAAATTTGTTCTATCAGTTATTTATATTTTTGGGACATAAATCTTTGATAAAAACAGTAAAATTGAAGCAAAACGTCAAAGGTAAAATAACGAAAGAAAAATTGAACAATGGAAAATCTTGATGAAAATTTCTCATAAACGAATAACAAGCGCTGTTCATAAGTCTACCGTACTTAAAATCAAACAGTATGGAAGGCAACTATATAAATAGACTACAGACATCTAATTGCTATTCTGATGTAACTCTATTCCACATAATTCTTCTAAAATATATTTATTATAATAGCGTTATTTGTGCATTTTTCTTCATGTTTCCATGCAAATCCTCGATGATTTTATGTTTTTAAGACATGGAAAACAAAATTTCTAAAATTTTAATATATATATCTCCCTTATTTGTAGAGATAGGCACATGAAAATTTAGCATAATATTCATGATATTACAATGGATCATATACCAAAGTTTGAGCTTTTTTTGGGTTTGTTATAAGGGAGAAAGCGCAATTTTTCTGAGAGGGCCCAAAACTTATGGCTTACCCTTTAGAAACCAACATAGACATGGTGCACCTTATCAAAATAACTATTGTTGACAAATGACTTGGCATATATTACTTATTACGCTATCATTTTATCGAGAAATATTTCCTCATTCATGTGCTATATATAACATAATCTTTGCTTTTTTTACTTTGAGTAAGTTTTGGCAAGTTGAAGCTTGTTCAAACTCAATTTACGAATCTCATAAAGTTCGTTCCGTAACTCTTAAACCAAAAGTTCTAGAAAAAATTTTCAGATCATATTTGGCATGAACGCAACATTTTGATTCGCACCCAATGCTATCAAATCTCTGTAGACCTCTTTAATACGTTGAAAAAGACCAGAATGAACATGTTGTCAAATTACTTTTCGACAACCTATTGGGAATATACTGAGTTTATAGTGTATTAGAATGTCATCGATTAACTGTTGACAGTATGAAAATCTGACTTCGAACATTCTAATGAAAATAAGCCTAATACAAACTTAACAAAAGTTATTTTTGATATAGATAATTCATTCTATATAACAGAATGTTATAATATAAACATAGGTTATATTTCTTAAAATGTCATCATATATATTCTAGATAAATGATGCATTTGAGTTTTAATAATCATATATGAAAATAAATGTTTTATATAAGATATTCATTGAATACATACTTTATATAATATTGATGTCCATCCTTCCATTGTTATACATTGAAATACTGTTAACATAGCCAAACCAAAATTATCAAAATTGATAATTCCATACCATGGACCCTCCCAACCCAGATCTTTACATTCTTGACCTTCGGGACATTTTCGACCTTTTTCACCACATGGTCTCATTTCACCCGTACGTGGTATTTTGTCTATCAAAAAAGCAAACAAAACAATTCTTTTTCTTTAGTTTTTGCTTTTAGAAATCTATCATACTTGTTCCATTAATGTAACAAGTCATATGCATTTTTCCACAAAATAATTCCAGACCAATAATAGAATAAATAATAATGACAAAAAGTACTAAGAGAGCAATATGTAATAATGGTAGCATAGCTCGTAATATGGAATTTAATACAATTTGTAAACCTTAAAATATTAAATATTTCACAATTAGATTTTGTTGTGTCAAATTTATTCAAATAAATATTAAATAAAATTACTCTTACCAAATAATAATAATAATAATAATAAATAACAACTAAACAACATATAAATCTATACGTGCATAACCCAGTACATTATTACAAACAATATCAAAACAGACAAAACAAGATTAACATCATTTATATTTACTTGGTACACCATTGACAAGTTTTAATGGTCGAATCACACGAAATGCTCGTAATGATTTAACATCAAAACCTTGCACATTATATTGAACCAATATCACACTTAGAAATCTATTGAAAAAATAAAAATGTATTTTAATAAGTTTTCTTTTTTTCTATTAAAAAAAATATATATCATTTTTGTACCCGACAACAACAATAATAAAATCAAGTAAATTCCAACCACTTCTTAAATAAGCATTTGGATGAAGACATAAACCATATGCAATAATTTTTAATATAACTTCAAGTGTAAATATCGCCAAAAAAATATACTCAATTTGTTCCTTAGGAAAAAAACGAAAAATAAATTACTTCTTAATAATAACAAATCAAATGATTAGAAAGTTTTTAGACAAAGTGTTTATTCACTTTTGGCTAGTTAGAAAGTATTTTCGACGAGTAGAACTTGTCGAGACCAACTCGACGTACTCTACTGACGGGTTAAAAGCTATGTGTATTAGGACTAAAATTTTGTGCTCGTTTCGAATACTAGCTTAGAAATTTCAAAATCATCGACGTCGGTTGTTTTGTAGAATGAACACTTCTCTACAAAAAGCTGTAGCGTTGATATAAGTGATGTTACAAGTATCTGTTTTTGAGAACTCCTTTCAACGTAAAATGGTTGTCGATTTTCCAAAAAAAGAGTATAAAAAAAACCGGAAATTGAGATTCTTTGCCGAAAGACAAAAAAAAACTTTAAATAGTACATTTCATAGGGTATCTTCTCGTTTACAAGCTGAAATGTAATTAAGATCCTAATTGTTAGTTTCGAATTGCAATAATAAGAACACAAAAATTTTTGGTTTAGACTAATTTTTTTTTGGGGGCTTTTTAAAGATTATTTCATTGATACATAATTTCTAAGCCTGTATTCGAAAAAAGCATCGTAACTAACGTCAAAAATACTTTCTAGCAGGTCAAAATTGAACAAATATCTTGTTTAAAAGCTCCTATAATCATCTTTTATTAATTATCTGCATACCAAAATATAATTCGTTGGTGTTGTATCATTATTTGGTAATGGTTTACTAAGAGCTAATGCTGCACAATTACAAAAAATTGTAAACAATACAAGATATTCGAAAGGTCTGTATAAGAAAAACAAACGTTATAAGAAAAATAGAAAAATAATAATTTATTGAATACATACTTCCATTCAACTAATTTAATACATGTTCGACGTAATTTATTATCAAGTGTCAAACAAAATAAAGCTCGACGTGGGTGTTCAGGTGTCGTTTGCCGACGTTTACGTCGTCGTATTTCAGCTTGTTTTAAAACAGCATTCCATGGATTATTACCAGTTGGTATATCAAGTATATGTGCCTAAGTTTTATATATTTAAATCAATGATAAAAATTAACAAAAAAAAAACATGTAAATGATCTTACTGCTTTTTTTGGTGGTGCTTTCATTTGGGGTGGTAACGGCGGGACTTAAATAAAATCAACAAAAATAATTGACATTGTTACATTTTTTTTTCTTTCGTTTAGCTCTTACGTGTATCATACTCGTCATCCGCTACATACGAATAAGTTAATGGACTAAACATCGTACTTAATTTTTTTATCAAGATTCTATTGCTAGAATGTTTCGATAAATAGATATGGAATGACAATAATAGGAGACTAAAAGAAAAAATAATAATAAATTGTCCATAATGTGAAGAAAAGAACAAAAGAAAAAAAAAGTGAAGGAAAACTTACATAGAAGATCATCACAAAACATTATATTATGGAAAGAAGCAATAAACAATTGCTCAAGAGTGAATAGGATATATCTAAATAAAAGAAAATACTAGAAAAATAGCTCTGGGAGACTGATGTCTTTATGAATAAAAAAAATCAGATCTGAAGATCACACAAGGTCGTGGGAGGGAATATCATCAAGGATTTTTTTTCTATTTCTCTGCCATACATCCGGTGCCAGATTAAGGACAAAAAAACTCGTGCTACAATCAAATATAATTTAACATTGATTGTGCTGCCATAAAAAATTTTCTTATTTTTTTAAATTTAAATCGAAACATGACAAAATTAATCTAAATATTTTCTTTTAATTTAATTATAAAATAAATTAATTTTTTTTATTAAATAATTTACCAATCATATCATATGTTGATCTGTTTAGCTATTTATTTTACATTGTCTTTTGCACTACGCATTCATTTATTTATTTTTTTTTTCGCCTAAGTAATTGAAATTGCATGCATCAAGCTAGTTCAAGTCCAGACGATATGTCATCAGGCCATTCACTTAAAACTCGTGCTGAACAAGAGCGTATATCATCATTTCTTCATGAAAATACTCGAAGGTAAAACGAATGAAAAATTGTTTTTCATTAAGTTTTTTTTTTCTATTAATATTTAGATCAAGTTCAGAAGAAAAAAAATCTCATCGTATTCCTAGTGGTAATTCTCGGCATCGTCATCATCGACATCCACTTGATCCAATCGAATCTGATTCAGATTCTGATCTTCGTAGTCGTCATAGATCAAATAATAAATCAAAAACAAAACATCGTCGATCACATTCACGTTCGTCATCAAGTGAAGGTGAACGACGACGAAAGCGTAAACAATCTGATAAAAATAATGATACAAATCATCGTCGTCGTCGAAGACATTCATCGGCTAGTTCAAGTCGTAGTTCAACAACTCGTAGTAAGAGTCGAGATCGAAAACGACGAATATCGGTAAAAAATTTATTTTTCTTGTTTTTTTTTTTAATATGAACAAACGATCAAAACTTTGTAATAATGTTTTTTCTATATTATAGGTTGAAAAACATGAACCAAAACCAACTAGTACAATTATTATGCATAACATTCCATTAATTTTCGATGAACATGAGGTTTACAATTTTTGTTTTGTTTGTTTTTCTCCCCAATTCTAAACGATTATCAGAGTTTTAATCAAGAACAACTGATCTAAAAAATTTTCAAGTTTTTACATGTCACTATTTTTTTGATTTTGGAAGCATATTAGCTAGTGTTCGCATTTCATGAAAAGTACTTCACCATGTAGTATTTGAGTATGACATGATGAAATACCATTGAAAGAAACTTATGTGATTGCAACAGTAATTAAGAGACAGACACGAGTAACGGAAGGAGTGCTTTGATGGTTATAGGATGCAACAAACAATAGAGAATGACTCATACCGATGTGTCATGCGATTTGCTTCTGTCAAATCGATATGACGATGAAAGAAAATTCTATCGATTGTAATTATGACTAGTACGTTTCACGATTTATCTTTGAAAGATCTGTCCTTGTTATAATCATTTAATTTCGGTTAAGAAGCTTATGAGAAAAATATCTTCGTTAGTTTTACTTTGAGTATTAACTTTAGTACGATTTCATCAAGGTTTATTTTCATTGAAAATGTAAGGTTAATTTGTCAAATAATTGAGTCAATGAGTTCGTTGACATTTAAATATCACGAGCAAAGAAGATCAATTTAAAATTTGAGCGCACGACATTATAGATTATCAAAAGATAAATCTCTAGAAAACAAAGAATTCCATATATCATATAAGCCTATCGATTTAATTTATCTAGATATTAACTATTTTAATTAAAACAAAAAAATATCAAAGTTTTATTTGTATTTTTAGCTCTTATCTGAATTATCGATTGCTAAAGTACCAATACAAGAAATTCGTATAATTCATCGTAGAGATCCCGGTAAATACAGAAAATAAAAGAAGCTTTCGTTTTTATTTTAATTCTTCTATTTATATTTTTATTTTATTATAGCGACAAATCTTCAAACGGCTTATATCGAATTCAGTACAGTTCAAGAAGCTGAACAATGGATGAATTTAACGCAGGTTCAAACAAAAACCTAAATATTCCATCATTCTTGTTCCTATCTATTGGTGGGAGTGCCGTCTTTAATACAATGGACGGCAGCATATATATATGTATACATATATATGTATACACACAGATATATAACTATATTCGTCGAGAATTTATTTGGACACTCGAATCAATCCCTACTGTTCATTTTCATTCAGGGTACATTTCTTCTCAACGATCATCTTGTTACACTGACACATCGCTTCGACGACGATTCATCATCGATAAATATCAACAGCAATACTACTACTCATCGAGATTATCAGCGTAATAATATCAATGAATTACGTCTTCGTGATTGGGATTGTTATAAAGTAAATAAATTCATTCTTGTTTTTTTTCATGATTTTAGTTTATTTTATTTTTTTTCTGTATAGTGTGGTGTACAAAATTTTAAACGACGTGATCATTGTTTTAATTGTCATATATCGCGTGAAGGTATGTGGGAAAAGATTAATAATAAATATATATATATATAAACCAAATCAAATGAAGAAAACAAAAAAAGACAAAATATTTAAAAACAAAATTAAAATAAAAAAAAACGTTTTTCTGGAATTTCTTATAGACTCGGAACGAACACGAGATCTTGATGGATTTTCATTTGTTGGTTTAAATCCATGCAATAGTAAGAAATACAAAATTTATCTGTTTTTCTTTTTTATTATATTTATCTATTTTTATTTTAGCATTGGTACTACGTGGTTTAGATATTTTAACATCTAAAGAAACAATTGAAACTAAATTGCTTGAATTAACATTAGTACCAATGAAAAATTCTGCAATTGTTAAAGACAATTATACCGGTGTATCACGTGGTTTTGCTTTTGTTGAATATAATTCAATACATGTATGTTGTTTTCTTGTTAAGATTTATTTATAGATAAGAAAAAATTTTTTTTTCAAGGATTCCGTATTAGTTTATGAAAAATTACAAACAACAACACCTGGAGTTGAGATCGAAGGAAAAGCTGTTATAGTCCATTTTTCAAAAAATAATTTTGCAACATCGTAAATTTTCATTTTTTATAATAAAATTTATTTTATTTTATTTAATAATTCATTTGTATTAAAGACTTGCACAAATTCAAGATGAAGATGAAGATTTTTATTCAAGACGATCAACATCGTCTCGAAATCGTCATCGACATGATCATGTAAAAATTAATATTTTTTTTTCTTTGCTCTTCATTTATATTCATTTATTTTAATAGGATCGTCCGTCAAATGTTGGTCAATTACTTCCATCAAATAATGGTAAAAAGAATAAAAGAATATTCGATACCCATATAGTTAGAAATTTTTATATCTTACAATTAATGAGAATGTTGAACGAGAATAAAAATAACAAAACATAGGGATAGAATTATAATCTTTCAAATTTTCTTTGAATAATTCTAAGCATTTTATTCAAATTTAATGCTAATGCAAATTATTCATCAAAATTGCATACGTTTTTTTGTTTTAGTCGATCGAACACTTACTGCAGCTGATATTGCTCAACAAGCATTACAAAATATTCATGCTCAAAAACAACGTGATTATACTCGTCCACAACGTCGTCGAAATCATTCAAGTAGTGATTATTCAAGTGATTCATCATCAAATCCACAAAAAAAAAGACAATGTTCAAAAAAAGAATCCGAACAATATACAACACCAGATCCATCAAAATTTGAATGGTATCCAGAAGTTGGTTATCATTTTGATAAAACAACAGGATTTTATTTTGATGCTAAATCATCATATTTTTATAATCCAACAACACAAAAATATATGTATTGGGATCCAGCTCAATCAACATATATACCTGTTGAAGATACAATAACAACAACAGTTACAAATGAAACTACAAATACAACAGCAACTGAGCCAAAAGATAAATCTGAAAAAGTCAAAAATGCTCAAAAAGTTGCAAAAGTATGTCTTCATTTTTTTTTTTGATTAAAAAAATTCATTTGTTTATTACAGGAAATGGAACAATGGGCAAAAAAAGAACGTGAAAGAAAAGAAAAAGAAGCTAAACGTAAAGCTCAAGTAGCAGCAGCTGCTATGCCAACAACAATAAGTACGAGTGATTCTACATCTACAAATTCATCTTCAACAGGAGCATCATCATTTGCTGAAGTTGGTCTTCCATCAAATCGACCAACTGGTGGTTTAATATCACTAAATTTGATGTCATCTAATAGTAGTACATCTACAACAAATCGACCAGCTTTATTAGCAGCATTTGATAATCCTGATTCGGATAATGATGATAATGATAATGATAATGATAATAATACAACAAAATCTTCAACAACAACGACAACAACAAGTACAAATGTTCTTGATAGTAATGAAGAAAAATTAGTTGATTGGAATAAATTAGCATGTCTTCTATGTCAACGACAATTTGATACACGTGAAATACTTGAAAAACATTTACAAATGTCAAATCTTCATAAAGTAATATATTAAGGACGACTATAAGCTTTTGACTCCAGGACAAAATATATGAAGAGTTGTTGAGAAAAATTTCCTCTATCCAATAATATATGCATTATCAAGTTCTACCGCCTACTGTTGACATGTCAATAGATTGTGCCATATTCTATCGTGATAGCAGCAACGGCTTTGCCATCTCTTAACAAGTTATCATCCTACATATATATTGTTCTGTAGTCAAAGATTAGCGGAAAAACTTGTAGTCACGTTTTATTTATCTAATGATTTTTTTATTTAGGAAAATTTAGCAAAAGCCGGTATTGTTCGATCACAACCAGTATGTATTGATATGTTTCTTTTTAAATCTTATTTATAAAATTCTCTTTAGCTTGTTTATCGTGATCGTGCGAAAGAACGTCGAGAAGCATTCGGAATAGATGATTCAAGTAAACGAAATGATTATTCACCTGTTCATGAACGATCATCATATTCAACAAATTCGCGCCGAACACATAATCAAAGTAAATAATATAAGATTCTTTTTTTGTCTTTAATTAAGATTTATGTATTTAAATGTTACAGATCAATCATCATCGTCATCATCAGGTAGTATCGGTTCAAAACTAATGAAGAAACATGGTTGGCAAGAAGGCCAAGGTTTAGGAAAAAAATTACAAGGTCGAGCTGATCCTCTTGAAGTATATATTCATTTTAAAAACGAAAATAAGGAAAAACTTATTTGTTTTTTTCTCTTTCTCTCTAGGCTGAAATGAGACAAAGAGGACTTGGTCTTGGTGCCGATCAACGACTTAAATATCATGCTGAGCCAGGAGATTCATATAAAGATGTTGTACGAAAAGTTGCACGTGCACGATTTTCAATGATGGAATCTTGACAATATTCATCTTTTATGTACATGTTTCTTTATATATTTGTGTGCTTGTGTGTATGAGTGTATCCGTCACTAGTATATATATTCATATAATATATATGCTCGACAGTTTTTTTTTCTACGATATTAAATACATATTATGGAGATGAACTTTGTGTCATTGTATGAACGTTGAATATGAATGTGTTAATGATTACAAATGATGAATGAAAGTTTAAATTTGCTATTGTTTTTGTTTAAAATTTAATTACAAATGAAAAATCTCATAAGAAAAGTATTCCATGAAAATTAGTACGATGATTATTTTCTGCTGCAATAAAAAAAGAGGACGAAAATGTGACGTTTTTTCATGCTGTTGATAAGAAACGTTAGAATGCGTGAGATCAATTTTTGAGAATACAGAACCTGAAAGTATTGTCAAGAATTGGTAAATACTTATGTTTCAATTGACATGATAGATAGATTATGCTAAAGATTTTAAATCGATGAGATTGATTAGACGATAAAGTACAGCTAAAATCGGTCTCACAAGAGAATCTACCCGAGTAGTACTTTGTGTTTGAAATGAGGCGTAGCTCATCAGATAGGATCTATTGAGACTAGAAGAATTCCTCCTTATACACTGTTCTTCTAGAGCTATGGCCGTTCTACTGAAATTTTTACTCTTAGCCCAGTACTTATTAAAAAAACTAACAAATGAATTCTGACCTGAAGCTTTGTCTATAAACATCTCTAAAGACATCAACCCTTCAAAAGAACAGACAATTTAGTGTTTTTTTGATGATTTGATATCTCAAGAAGGAATCGCTTATTTTTGCTAAAATGTTTTGGATTTTTTAATCGTCTCAAGAACTGTTTATAGACCAAGTTTCAGGCCAGAGCTGGTTTGTTTTGTGTAAGTACTGCACTAACGGTAAGAAATTCAGTGAAATGAACATAACACCGGAAACATAGCACATGAAAAGGAATTCGTCTTGGCTTTTTCAATCTCTACAAACGCCACGTAAAGAGCAGTGTTTCATAAGAAACGTGAGGTACCACCTAGGATGACTTCTTCGTCATTGAACACCCTTTGTTTCTGAATATTAACATCAGCTAACAGGTGTCACTTGGCTAAATTATGTGATTGAAACTGTGGAAGTAATAATGAAGAAATTAATTAGCTATATGAATTGATTCAATGACAGTGAGGCAAAGGTTTTGATTTGAAGCAAAAAAAATGAATTTAATCAAAAATAAAGAACTTGGTTTATTCCATCATAAATTACGATATCAGTTTCAAGTGTCCATCAGAGCTTTTTTCGAATCTTCTGAAAATTCAACTCGATCTGATCACTTTTACCTAGACAAACAATAAAAATACTAATGAAATTTTTAATAATTTTTATTAGTGATTTTTCAAAATTTATTAACTGATTTTCAGATTTTGTTTTGTAAAAGTGACTTTTGTCTTTGAATTTTGAAGTCTTTCGACTTCTCGTTTTTCTCACTGTACCTATTGTGGTATTGTCCTGCTGCATACAAAAATTCAAAAGCTTTTGTCAATTCTTTAAGGACTTCGAAACTATCATGAAAAACGTCTGCTTTGCTCTTTTTTCTATGTTTTGTTACCAAAATGTTGATCAATTGCATTTCATGCCGCAACAATCAAGCGCTCCGAAATTTCTCTTGGTGATAGAGCACATTGAGTTCTATCATCTAAAGTATCTCATAAATTCGATCTTTGAGAAGAGTGAAGTAGTTTTCATTCAGTCATCTTTCTTCTATTATTTGTAAGATATGTTTGAAGAAGCTGACCTGTTTTCTATCCAAACTTGTCAATTCATTACGAAATATAGAGACAGATAATGAGAAAATGCTCTTGGTGAAATACAATCCATTAGAAAGAAGGAAAGAAAAATATAACCTTGCTTTTTTTTTCAGTAGTCATTTATTTACACATTCTACTTTTAAATGGATGTCACTCACTACATATACGTATATGAGCGGAAAAATGGCAACAGTAATAGAATTATATTATAAGCATGTTTTTTTTTTCTTCGTTATCAAATAACTTTTTTATTAGTCGCTCTTGCTCTTGATATTTGCACTTTTAAATAAAATTCAATATAATTAATCATGCAGTCATCAATCAATCTAGAATGAGAGCAATGACGAAATTACACTCCTCATCTCACCGATCCTATTCTGATATCAGAAATATTTATGTATATGTGTAATTAAAACATAATGAATTAATTTAAGATATGTAATCATTATATCTATTCATCACTGAATTCACGATGAGACATAAGTCAATAGAAAACTAATACTTGTTCTATTGAAAAATAGTAAATGATACTTCTTATTTTGTTCTTGTTTGTTCATTTCATTGGTTTTTCTTTATTGCTCCTGAGTGCTTGTAATATGTTCTTTGTTACTTTTGTTTTGCGTTGTCCAATAAATTCGTAGCGGTAAATGATACCATGTTTTTGCGCAATAATTCTCAAGCAATGTGATATAATATGAAAGCATATCTTCGATACAAAAATCGACAATTCAAACGAAGTCAAAAGAATCAAGATATACATACAATGGTCAAATCTTTAACTTAAAATTATCGTAGAATTTACGAGAATAGAACAGAATTCAAGTAATTCTATTCAATTTAAGGGAGCCAAGTTGCCTGTTTAACGCGAAATGTGTATTCTTCAATATTAGCACAAACAAAGAAGAGTTCAGCAAATCAGAAATATTTAAATGACATTTAGTCTTTTCAAGTAAACAGGAACAATGGTGATGTCTGAATCACTGCAAATTAGATAGCACAATTTTTTGTCAAAAGTCGGTCGTCCTGACAGACACCTGCTTTCAATATTATTGGAAGGCTACCTCCTCCACCCTTAGACTCTGATTTTGTTAAATTTCTTGTTTTCGTTGGCTTGTTCTTGACTTACTTTCAATTTCCTTGAATGCTCAATGTTTGGATCGCGAGTATTGTTGTTCAGTTGTCTCAATATCACTGCGAACATAACTTTGCATAATGTTCACACAAGAGAAAAGAGAGAGAAACAGGGATCATCGAAGTCAATATTACAAGAGAGAAGTTATTCAGAAGAAAGAAAAGGAAGGGCAATGAAGTGTAACGCGCAATAAAGGTTTCACTGTATAATTAAATATATAGAAGTGACGATGTTGTTTTCGTTCTTGTCATGTCTAACTTGACTACCTAGACAACAGTCTAGTGCGATGTGAAGGAAGGAGAAAGTCATAAAAAGAACCAATCAAGCATAAATAATGAATCATGTTCTTCTGACCAAAATCATTGAAAGAGAAAGTACATGTGACACATTACCACTAAAGTTATTCCCCGAAAAAAAGAGAGAGAAAATGGGAAAGAATAGTAATACGAAGAATGACGTTCTTGGTGTTTTCTCTTAGTTTATTAGGATGTGTCCAATGATTAAATATTTTTGTAATCTCTCTCTTCCTCCTGTCTTCTTCACCATAGTACTGTCAATAAAAACCAGATCAGGTTCGTTCTTGGTTGCCAAAAAAAAATACAACACTATATCTAGTAGGCACACAAACATAAAAAGAGAATCAATATTTATATATCAATAGAGAAAGTGGTGTCTGTTTGATCGGCAAACAATCACTCATAACACTTGATTGACGATCAACTTATCATTCAAAGCAATATGGATGCACAAAAATCAATCAAACCTATGTCTACATCATCAAAGATCTCATTGACCACAACGTCAGTATGGTCGGCTGACATTCGTTCAAGAGGCCATATTGTTCAAGATTTTCTTCTGATATGGTTGGATGACAATATTGACCAAGCTAATAAGGATTATCAAAATATTTTGGCACAACTGCAAAGTATAGGCAACGATGTTCATATCTTCACGCAAAGCGATGAATGTATCGACTTCCTTACCGAAGTCGTTGACAGAAAGATATACCTCGTTGTACTGGGTACCATGAGACATCAAATCGTGCCTCTCATCTATGATATTCCCCATCTTCATAGTATTTACGTCTTGTCCGAAAACGAAGTTCAGCGCAAAGAGTGCAGCAAGGATTGGAATAAAATTAGAGGCGTACACACGAAAATTCCACCGCTCTGTAAAGCACTGAAAGTGGCTATCAAACAGTGCAATCAAGATGACATCTCGCTGAGCTTTGTCAATATAAATCAAGACGGTTCCATCCAAAACTTGAATGAACTTGAACCTTCATTTATGTATACTCAACTGTTCAAGGAAATTCTCTTTGAAATCGACCATAACGAACAAGCAATGAAGGATTTTATTCAATTCTGGCGCAATAAATACATCAATAATGCCGCTACATTGAGACATATCGAGGAATTCGAACGTGATTATTGTCCTCAATCATCTGTTTGGTGGTATACTCGGGAGTATTTCCTTTACCAAATGCTAAACTCGTCTCTTCGAACATTGGAATCCGAAATACTTATGAAAATGAGCTTCCTTATTCGTGATCTTCATTGCAAAATAGAAGGATTACACAAAGAACAGTTCATAGGTTCTCAGAAACAGCCTCTTATTGTTTACCGAGGGCAGAGTTTATCCATTGCTGACTTTGAAAAACTTCAGAAATCAAAGGGTGGTCTGATATCCTTTAACAATTTTTTGTCCACCAGTAGAAACCGAGATGTTTCTCTTGGTTTTGCAGAAAGTACTTCAACAGCAAGCGATATGGTGGGCATTCTCTTCCAAATGACTATCGATCCCAACATCACATCAACTCCTTTCGCCTCCATCGAACAGCTGAGTTACTTCAATGAAGAACAAGAAATTCTTTTTTCAATGCATACTGTTTTTCGTGTCGGTGAAATCAGACAGATAGACAACAATAGTCATCTTTGGGAAGTCAAACTGACTCTCACCGACGACAATGATCCTCAACTGGCTGCTCTCACCCACCGCATACGAGAAGAAATCGATGACGAAGGGTGGTATCGGATGGGTAAACTTATGATCCAAGTGGGTCATTACAGCCAAGCCGAAAAACTCTACAATAAATTACTACGAAACTCTTCCGCTGAAAATAGAAGGGCCAGTATTCATCATCAAATTGGGCTGGCGAAAGCAAACCAAGGTGAATACATAGAAGCAATTTCATTCTACAATAAATCCCTCGAAATCAGACGCAACACTCAGCCCAAAGATCATCTTTCGTGGGCTGCAACATACAGTGAGATCGGTGAAGTATATCAAAACATGAGTGACTACTCGAAAGCTCTTGAATGTTATGAAAAAGCACATCATATAAAAGAAAAATTTCTGCCGCCGAATCATCCCTCGTTGGCTGTGTCTTACAGCAACATCGGTACGGTTTATCATGACATGAGTGATTACTCAAAAGCACTTGAATTGTACGAAAAAGCACTTACAATAAGAGAGAGTGTCCTACCACAGAATCATCCGGATTTGGCCAGTTCTTACAGCAGCATTGGTATTGCGCATAACCACATGGGTGAACATTCGAAAGCACTCGCATTTCACGAAAAAGCACACCAAAGCTACGAGAAAGCGCTACCTCCACACCATCCCTATGTAGCACTATCCTACAACAGCATTGGAACCGTCTACCATCATATGGGTAACTACTCAAAAGCACTTGAATTTTACGAAGAAGCACTTAAAAAGCGAGAAAGATCTCTGCCTCTGAATCATCCCTATTTGGCTACCTCTTTCAGCAGCATCGGTCTTGCTTATAACAACATGGGTGAACATTCGAAAGCACTCGAGTTTCACGAAAAAGCACATAAAATCTACGAAAAAGCGCTACCTCTGGATCATCCCTATTTAGCTCTATCCTACAACAACATCGGAGAAGTATATCATCATATGGGTAATTCCTTAAAAGCACTTGAATATTACCAAGAAGCATTTGAAATAAGGAAGAAAGCTCTATCACTGAATCATCCAGATTTGGCTACTTCCTACAACAACATTGGTCTTGTGTATAACAACATGGGTGACTACTCAAAAGCACTAGAATTTCACGAAAAAGCACATGAAATCTACGAGAAAGCTCTACCTGCTAACCATCCGTATTTGGCGCTATCCTACAACAACATCGGAGAGGTGTATCATCACATGGGTGACTACTCAAAAGCACTCAAGTTTTACGAAAAAGCATTTAAAACAAGAGAAACGTCTCTACCACTGAATCATTCAGAGTTGTCTACTTTCTACAACAACATCGATCTTGCAAACAACTATATGGGCGATTACTCGAATGCGCTTGACTTTTTGAATAAAGCACATAAAATAAAAGAAATAGCTGTACCTTCGAATCATCCTGATATAGCAAATTCCTACAGTAACATTGGCCTAACTTATAACAACATGGGTGACTACTCAAAAGCACTCGAATTTTACGAAGAAGCATTTAAAATAAGAGGAAACACTTTGCCTTCAAATCATCCCGATTTGGCTACTTCATACAACAGCATTGGTCTTGTGTATAAAAACATGGGTGACTACTCAAAAGCACTAGAATTTCACGAAAAAGCACATGAAATCTACGAAAAAGCTCTACCTGCTAACCATCCGCATTTGGCGCTATGCTACAACAACATCGGAGAGGTGTATCATCATATGGGTAATTACTCAAAAGCACTTGAATTTTACGAAGAAGCATTTAAAATAAGAGCAAACACTTTGCCTCCGAATCATCCAGATTTGGCTACTTCCTACAACAACATTGGTCTTGCATACAACAAGATGGGTGATTACTCAAAAGCACTTGAGTTTCACGAAAAAGCACATGAAATCTACGAAAAAGCGCTACCTCTGGATCATTCCTATTTAGCTCTATCCTACAACAGTATCGGAGAAGTGCATCATCATATGGGTAATTACTCAAAAGCACTCGAATTTTACGAAGAAGCATTTAAAATAAGAGCAAACACGTTGCCTCCGAATCATCCCGATTTGGCTACTTCCTACAACAACATTGGTCTTGCGTATAATAACATGGGTGTTCACTCGAAAGCATTAGAATTTCACGAAAAAGCACATAAAATCTATGAACAAGTTTTGCCTCCGGATCATCCTTATTTGGCTACTAATTACAACAACATCGGTCTTGCCTATAACAACATCGGTGAACATTCAAAAGCACTTGAATTTTACGAAAAGTCACATGAAATAAAAGAAAAATCGTTGTCGGGAAATCATCCTGATTTGGCTCTGTCTTATAATAACATCGGAGAGGTGTATCGTCGCATGGCTAAATACACAAAAGCACTAGAGTTTCACAAAAAGGCACGTAAAATCTACGAGAAAATTCTGCTGCCGAATCATCCCTTAATGGCTGAATCGTACAATAACATTGGTCTTGTATATAATTACATTGGAGATTACTCGAAAGCAATGGATATTTTGAACAGAGCACATCAAATAAAAGAAAAGGCTGTGCCTCAGAATTATCCCAATTTGGCTGAATCCTACAATAACATTGGTATGGTGCATAGCAACATGGGTAACTACTTGAAAGCACTTGGGTTTCACGACAAAGCAAATAGCATCTTTGAGAAAGTAATGCCACCGATGCATCCATATTTGGCTATTTCCTATTGCAACATCGGGCTTGCTTATAGCAACATCGGTGAATACTCGAAAGCTCTAGAATTTTACGAAAAAGCACTTAAAATAGGGCAAACGTCTTTACCTCAGAATCATCCCGATTTGGCTGTTAATCAATTGAACTTTGCAATATATTACGAAAGAATGGGCGATTATGCAGCAGCTCTGAAGGCTCTTCAAAGTGCTTTTGGGATTCAAGAAAAAATATTGGAAGAAGATAATCTAGGTTTGGCTTCTACTTATGGTTGGTTTGGAAGAGTTTATCGGTCTTTGAAAGAATATTCAGTTGCACTTTTTTATTTTGAAAAGTGCCTTGCAATACGTCAACAAAAATTACCCAAAGAACATCCGCATCAGGCTATTTCATACACTAATATAGGCGATGTTCATCGGTTAATGGGAGATTATGAAACGGCACTTTCGTTTCATCAAAAAGCGTTAAACATTCAAGAAAATGTTCAATGTAATCCTCTGGAATGCGCAATGACACACGTTTATTTAGGCGAAACCTATCTAGAACTGAAGGATTATTCATCAGCAGTGACATACTTTGAAAAAGGAATGCTAATACGTGAAAAGAAGCTACCAAAAAATCATCCTGATTTAGCTGTTATTCATCACAATTTGGCAAAATTATATGTGGCTACTCGACAATATAGTCTGGCGATGCAAAATGTCCAACAAGCAATAGAAATTGCTCAAGAAAAGCTGCCTTCAAATCATCCTCATCTTTTGGATTATAAAGAGACATTAGAAAAAATACAAAAAAAGATGTAAATTTGTTTTTCACGCTAACTCAATAAATTCTTTTTCTTGTCTATTCATCTCTCCGGGCTACTTTCGGCTCGTTATCGTACACGCACGGCTACTGAGATTTTTGTAGGTCTCAAAAGGAGACACATGAAAACGACCACATCAAACGGATAGTGTAATGAGCATAGATATGAATTACCATAAGGTCGATGGGAACCATACGATCAAATTAGAGGTTTGTCAAGTAATATTCTGACTTCGCCATACACGCAATTTGGATCTCTCGGAAACATCTTACAAAGCCACCTGACGGGTTGTAATATAAGATGACTGTTAGCTCTCGTTTTGGGGATTATGTAGCAATGGTAGAACTAATATTTAGCCTGCCAAAAATGGAGAGCTAAACATGTTTTAATAATCGACTTTGTCGTCGTGTCATATATAGAATATATTGAGTATCGAGAGATCGATACGATAGAACATCAACAACTGCGCAATAACGAAAAACAAAAAGATAATCACGAGATGAATCATAGTTGAGAGATTACGTAACAAATCAAATTAGAGATTCAAAAAATAGATAACATAAGATAAACGTTTAGCGTCAGTAAGCACCATCTACTGACGCTAACAATGACACCTTTCTCTACTACACACGAACACAGCTATAAGCAAAAATAAGTTAACATACAAAATAAAATTCTTCCTACTTTTTAATATATCCTGACGAATTCATGGTGAATGTTAAAAATACTATTTAATCCACAACAGGTTATGCCTATGTTACCTTAAAGATACTTTGAGAAGTCTCATTGGCTGCCAGGATTTCTCAAGTCATATGTATGTTCCCTCTCTATTAGAAGCGAATATAACTTAGCTAACACTTCTTTTTTGTACCTTTTATAGTGAAAAGACAACAAATGATAACCAAAAACTCTGTTTGAGATTGGAACATAAAATGATTTAGACTAAGTAATAAATCTCATTTCGACAGAAGCGATGTAATCTAAGTTGTTAATTCGACTTTTGAACACCGTAAACATAATAATCGTAAATAATAGAATTATACATTAAAAATATTATAATCAATGTTGCGATAAAATGATTTAAGCATCATGATAAATACTTGAATTGTTGTATCGCTGCAGAAAAAAACTTAACGTACTCAGTCTGTCGAAGATAAGTTTTTGGGTAGAATAGATCACACTGGCAGATGAAAATCATTCCGTATATATGTTTGAAACATGCATTACCATTTGACGATGATCATCGGTGAATGATTAATCAATGATTTGAAATATCCTTGTGTCAATTAGAGGATTGATTATCCAATATAAATTAAGCACACAATTGACTTGCATATCGTATATTTACTTTAATTCGTCGATATATCGGGATAGCTGAAGACATCCCCGGTATACTGCTAGTATAACTATGATTTTGTTAAGCACCGCGGTACATCGGCAATTAAAAAAGGCTTTGTGTATGTTAGTGTTTGCTTTGATAGTTTTCGTTCTAGCCAGTAAAACCGTATCAAGCACTAAGAAGGCTTCAAACATATGATATCACATGTTCACACCACAATCACCATGAGTTTTTTTTATAGGATAATAAAATCTAACATTTTACTTAAATAATCTTTATTTGAAGAGTGCCCATCCTCACACCCACACCATAGTATAGCTGTCTTCTCACCCAGACATCACGATTCACAGCACAAGTACAACTATTATTTACCTACACCTGCATACTCTTCATTTTTGAATTAGCTTTTTCTACTCAAGACAGCTGTTCATGTTTGAGAGACATTAGTTTTTCTTTTATGCTTACATTCCGTTTTTTTTGTATAGAACAGTCGTTGCTTTTTCTGACGAGAAGAAGGCTTCTCGTGAAAAGTGGGAGAAATGGCATAAAACATGAAGCATGATGGAAGAAAAAGCTTCATTATAGTAATTTTTTCTTCTGCAAGTGGTGTTGATGGCAGAGAAATCGCTTAATCTATTTTTCATCGTTGTTATATTCTCTTACTTTTTTGTTGCATTATTTGCTTTCTCTGACGACGATAGAAATTCTGTTTTGACGTGGAGTGGGGAAGCAAGCACAGCAATCATATAACGCAGCAGCTACCAAACAACAGAACAACTTTCAGTTTTGAATAGGCAGTTTCTTTGAGGCTAAGTAAGTATTACAAATGTGTGTTAGAATATTTTCCGTTTGTGAACAGTCACTGGTTTTTCTTTATGTTCTATCAGTTGCTCAAATTTACTGCCACATTAATCCTGTTCATTAGATAAAAGAAATTGCTTAAGACCGAAAAGGATAATATAAAAGAATATTTTCTTGTTGATTTTGTGTTTTTTGCTGGAATTAAGCTTCAACAACACACAGCTAATATTTGCTGTCGTTGGTTAAAGTTTTTTGGACTTCAAGTTTACTCCAACAATGGTGTATTTTGAAGTATGAATTTAATTGTAGAAGCAGATAGCAATTGCATAAACAAATGCATAACTACCTAACAAAACTCCACATATATATGTCAAACTTGAAAGTTCTATAGTACTAGTAGTTAGTTAATAGAATTCAATTTTCCAATTTGACACTACTAAGAAAATAACCTTATATGACAAGATCGTATGCAACAGTGATGATGAGGATTGGCGTATCATGTAGAGATACCGTTTTATTTTATACTTCGAATAGGTTCCTTTATCGATGAATGACTAAACATGGTATATGATGCTAAAGAAAAGTATTTTACACTGGGTGATTTCAAGAGACATAAAAAAACGTACATTATCATCTGCCGTGTCCAGATCCGCATTCAATGTAGTATGGTAGGTATGAGCAGTCTCTTTGTTCACGCCACACATCCTTGCAAGTCCACTGAGGTACATGTTACTTCAGATAACTACAATATCAGGTTCTGAGATGCTTCTTTAGAAAAACCATAGTGAGTAAGAAAACCTGCGTGCTTGTTCAATATTTTTCTGTGAGCGTCATTATGGAGAGATTTATTCAGGACAACTAGAATCTATTCCATAAACATTCTCCATCTGCATAACTGACCAACTAATCAGCGAATTACGGAAAAATTGAGAGCTCTCTATACTATCGAAGAAATGTTTATCATAACAAGTTTTTGCTTTTTTTTTGTAGAAATTTATCAGTGTTGAATAACGATCTTCTGGCTCTGTCGTGTTTGTTTCAATGGTGCTTGATGAAAGAAAACACGTTATGCTATCATATAATCATAAAGATATAAGAATCATTATAAAAGTTTACAATATTCTCAAAGACAATAATATTTCAGTTTGGTTTGATTTTCGGATACCTTGCATGCCTGAAGCGGTAAATAATGCTTCAATTGTCTGTTGTTTTATGACACCAGAATATGAAAATTCTTCATATTGTAAACTCGAATTAGAACACGCACAAAGACTTTGCAAACGCATCATTCTATGCATGGTTAGCGGCAGAAAAGTGTGGAAGCGATCTTCATCAAAGTAGTTAAGCTTGATAACTGACTCAATACTATCCATTGACTTCGCCATTACTTCTGGAGAGCACATACTTATGAAAGTGAACGAACTTATTGATAGACGAAAAGACGAATCTTCAACTGCAGGAATAAGCTCATCCTCTTCACCAAATACCATACTTGAACAGATTAAACATGAATATCTACTAAAAAATTGTATTCAAAGAATGATGAATGAAGAAAAACGTTTTCCAATCAACCAAAGTTATATTAATTTGGCATTAGTGGAAATCAAGGAGCAGCACGAAAAAGAAAAAAAGCTTCGCAAAACTCAGCGTGATAATACAATTAGACATGCATATGAGGAAATACTCAGCATCAAGACCACAATAGATGCCAAAGACTTGTTCAAAACCTCCAAGGATCAGACAACAAGAGTCCACGTGCTTAGACGACCTGAAATTGGAAAATCCATATTTTGTCGATACGTAACCTACGGAGGGACAAAAGGTGAAATTTTGTCAGAATATGAACTGATTGTTCTAATTCAGTTACGTCTGTTGACAACTAACCGCTATCACCAGAGTCAAAACTATTCACCAATTGATCTTCTAAGAAAAATATTTTTTCCGTATGACAATCTATCGAAGGCGAACAGAAGACTTTTCAAAGAGGAGCGCGATAAAGGTCCAGTCCTATGGATTTTAAATGGCTATGACGAATTTCTGCAAAATACTTCAGAACAATTAAAAGATGTACTCGAGTATATAAGTAAGATACAACATCATATTTTAACATCGCATCCATATGAAATTAGTCAGATTCAAAATGAACTACAAGATTTATCATCACAAGATCAATACTTGTTAAAATTTTTAATATCAAACCCTAGAATACGGAGCATTGCACACATTTCAATAAATCTAGAACTGTTCTTTTGTCTTTAGGGTGATATTGATTGGTCAGAAACAAAAAACAACTACAAGTACAGTACTCTATGTTCAGATTACACAATGGCTGTGTCGACGATATTTGACAAAACAAAAAAATATGAAAATCCAAGATATGGTGGAAAATGCACCTTTTAAACATTGCCAGAAAAAGTTAGCATTTATAGAAAGTGTGGCTGCTCGTGCCATGCAAGATAATACGATAATATTAAGACTGAAGCTATTCAAAAAAGCAGAGAAAGAGAACGAGAGTTTGTTAGACAGTTATCCCCAACTACTCAACATTGGCATTTTAAAATTGCTTAACGATAAGCAAACGGGTAGCTATATTGAAATTGAAAGACAACATTATTTTATTCATATCAGTTTTCAAGAACATTTTGCAGCAAGCTATTTAGTAACTATACTCAACAGCACTACACCTCACAAAGCAATCGATTTGATCAAGTATCAAAACTATAATCGACATCTTGCATTGGTATTTAGTTTCACGTTCGGTTCTTCCATGAACAGTAATAGTGAACAATGCATAGATCTATTTTGGAACCCTATACAAGGAGAACTGTTGGATCTATTATGAGAGCCAATCGGATTTC